ACAGGTAGCAAACGGCGTAAGCTGTAAGTGAGGTTATGTAGAGATAGTAGTAATCACAGATCACAGCGGTACTCTGTAATCTGTGGTAGCAATTACCACGCACATAGAAGTAAGGTGTAAATTAATAAGATGCCCATGCTAGCATGCAGAGAATGCGATGCTATGGCATACGGATGCCGGAGCTGACAAATTCTTAGAGAGGACTACAAGTTTTAAAGGATAACTCCCGAAAGCTCGTAGTACCAAAAAGGGGTTTTTTTAGTTTGTAAGAATCCAACACTACCCAGGGTTCGGAACACTGGGTGTCTTCGCGAAGATTTTTATTTCTCCAGCCGCCGGGCAAACAAAAAAAAATGGTTTGTATCATGCACAGATCACAGAATAACCTCTGTGATCTGTGGTATCATGCAGCTGTTCGCCCGTCAGTGCAGTGAAATTGAACATGCGCAGTGTTTGCCGCATGGGTGGCGATTTATCCGATCCTGAAATTTAACCGGAGTAACCCGAGCTTAGCTGACTGTCGGAATTGGCGCGCATTTTAAACCTCTTTGACAATGAATGCAACCAGCTGGATCAAATATGGTTTCTCTATGGATGTATATGAATGAGGGCGACGGTTAATTTGAATTATGAAAAGGATCGGAACAGTACTAAAGATTTCATTTAAATTTAAATTAAATAGTTACAATTAAAAATTTATTTACATGGAAAATAGTAGAAAACTAATAAAATACTATGCATTAGTATACATATATACCGCCCAAAACTAGTGTTCTAGTGATCTGGGCTGTGTGGGACTCCACTTTTTTTTTTGTTTGCCCGGTTGCTGGAGGAAAAAAAGCAGTAGAGTAAAGAGTAGTGTTGGATTCTTACCAACTAAAGAAACACAATTTTAGAACTAGGAGTTTTTTGGAGTCCTCCTTTAAAACTTGTAGTCATCTCTAAGAATGTGTCAGCTCCGGCATCCGTATGCCATAACATCGCATTCTCTCTATATTAGCCGCTTGCTAGCATAGGCATTTTACTAATTTAACATGTTAAAAGCTATCGCAAACTTTTTTTGGGTATTTCGCCGCAAATGTTTGTCTGAAAAAGACATAATTTTCTCACGTTCTTTAAATACATATTGATAAAAAGTGCTCGTATCTGTGATCAAGTACTATTACCTAGAGGGTATCCTGCAACACACTTAGGATCAAGCTATAAGAGAAAATTCCAATTAGTAAAAAAATAATTTTATAAAAGTACTTTGACATTTCGATAGCTATTTTCTGATAGCGGTATCAAAAGAACCTAAATGAACCTAAAAAGGAGTATATTACTAAAATGTCTAATAATATAAAGATAATACAAATATGTGGAAATTCACTCTGATGTTTCGTTTTTATAAATTAAATGTTTAAAACTACTTATCCCTATATGCTACTTTGCTATACCAGTACAAACACTATAACACTACTGAGTGGACAGTCTCACTTTCTGCCCACCAAAATATTCTATTGAAATTTTCAGCACCGCCTATTTTATCATACTACCTATTTCTTTCTGGGATAAAATTCTTGAGTCTCCATCTTGCGCTTTCTTGACTCTCTTCGTCTTACATATTTCTCCACTATCTAGAATATAAAATGTTTTGTGAAATGTTGCACAAGTTAATAGATAAAAAAACCAATCTAATTAACGAACCTCATTTAGTTCAAGTATTTCATCATCATTGTCATTGTTTATGTTTTCTGTTAATTCCCGTAAACGTAACTTAAGGTTTGTTGTCGCCATTTCCACTTTCATTTTTTTCACTACTTCAGAGTTCAATAATGAACTGAACTCTGAACCAATTTTCGTCTTGCATTCTTCAATAAATTCCTGAGCCTCTTCTTCCTGCTCCTTTTTGATCGTCGAAGTTTGACCTGATACCTACTGTAGTACATCGTCTAAAACAGAATTAGTGCCTCCGACCCTTTCAAACATACATGCATGTATATTCATCCAAGTTTATAAAAAGTATATCCTAGGTATGTACATATATGTACATATTGGGTATATGTGCAGATGAACATGCCAGGTATGTACATATTGTGTATATGTGCAGGTGAATATACCTAGTATGTTCAAAACAAATATTTCGGTAATATACATGAATGTATATCAACGGTATATCCCAAATTGGTTGAATATAAATTTTGCGTGCCCGCAGCAAAAAAGTAAGGGCGTGTAAAAGTAAATCTTCTTACTACTAAAACCTGAGACCTTTATGAAATACTGAAAATATGGTGTTTTGATTATCAAATTAACAAAATTTATCGAAAATAAATTTTGCGTACCCGCAGCAGAAAAGTAAGGGCACGTACAAGTACAAGAGTTACTTGAACATTATTTATTCAGAATTTTTTTACAAATTTCTTACTGCTAACTTATCTACGAGTCTTAATTCTAACATCTTTAGAGTGTTTTACACTCTGTGCACGCTGACATCCCTGACTTAATCTACCTTAACCTAATGTGGGCACATTAGGTTAAGACCCTAAGTTTAGACCTAAATCTAATACAACTTCTCTTGCTACCTAAGCTAACTTACAGCTAGTCCTGGTCCTCTAGGGACTCCATGGGGGATGTGGTCTACAAGTAAGGGCACGTGCAAGTACAAGAGTTTATATGAACTTTTCTTTTTAAATGCGTCAACGTTATAATTTTATTGGGCAATATTAATAAAATTTCTATATTACTCAAATAAATTTATCTAAAGCTAACAGTTCCCACCCTGTGAAATTCAAACAATTAAAATGCATATAATAAATTCAAATTACCCGCTTAGTGTGTACACGGATTACATCCGGCTATAACGTGACATTCGAGAGTGACAATGAGAGCGGACCAATGAGAATCATCTTTCACGCAGTGCTGCTTGGCGGTAACGCCAAACCTCTCAGAATTTCTGAAAAGCTGCAAAGCTTATAATTGATTGGTTATTGGCATAAACAAATTATTATGTGCTATTACACAAATCTTGATTTTTTAAATTACCTATACGAATGTAGATTTGTTATTTACTACAATACGCAGCAAGACAAAATTTAGATATATACCATATTTAGATAATATCGGTTTATCAGTGATGTCATATCCGGGGTGTGACAATTCAGCAATTTTCCATGTTTATCTCAGGTTACGTGCATTACGTGTTTTTCGAAAACTTGAGAATATTGAAAATCCATATAATCGATGCGAAAAATAAATATGACTCAAAATATAAAAACCGTGCTTGTGCCTCAGTGTTATGATGTGACGGAAATTACGGTATAATTATGGCTTAAAACCCCGCAAACATCTAAAGGTACGTTGGTGTTTAAATTAAATACATTTGATTATTTTATTATTTCTTGTTGTAAACATACAGGTGATACCGCTGTTCTGGACTTGAAGCATTGAAGACGCTAGGAATCACGTGAGAAAACCACACACGAAAAATGTTCGCATAAGATATGGCAAAAATGTATAGGTATGTTGGTGTTTAAATTAAATACATTTGATTATTTTATTATTTCGTGTTCTATACTACAGGTAATGTCGCTTTTGTGGACTTGAAGCATTGAAGATGCTCGGGAACACCAGATCTCCAGATCCAGTGAGAAAACCACACACGAAAAATTTTCGCATTAGAGACAAGTAAGGTTGTCTGAACCTAATTATTCTTCTATTAATGTAAAACTATTATCCGTAATTTTTTATTTTTACCAATTTGATTTTGGTTGATTTCTTTTTTGCGAAAAGCATGTTTTCTTGGATCGAAGGAAAGCAACAAAAGTAAAATGAAAGTAATATATCAATGCAAATTGCTATATCTAACTGTATTTCTACACAATAGAATAATCTGTGGATGAACGAAAATCTCTTCTATCAATGTAAAACTATTAACTGTATTTTGTTGTTGTGTAATGTTATGTACCATGCCTTGATGACATGATTATTCCGTTAATTCTGGGTTCTCACGTACGCATCTGATTACCTAAACAACATTCGAACCCGATCTAGCTATAAATAACCTAATAGCGTCTTGATGTTACAGCAAACAAAGTGGTTGAGCTTATTTTTCCTTTTTTGCGCTTAGAAGCTTTCATGAATCGATGAGCGTTTATCTAAATAAGATTGTCCGACACCATCTGTGGAAGTGGTGATAATTCTTTCAACTAGTCATCCTAAAGTGACCATTTCATTATTTAAGTATATTTTTCTTCTAGGATTCTGGATAAACAAAAACGTCATCGAATTTTGATATAAAAGACCGTCTGATTTGTCCCCAAATAAGACACTCTACAAACTTCAGTCGAGACACATCGCGGTCGTGCATTTTAC